CGCGTTGTTTCGCATTAATCTGGCAATATATTTGACTTGGAGCTTAATCCGGTCAAACTTTTTAAAAATGGGATTAGTACTGTCAAAAGGCCTATTAATTCTAAAAATGTCATATTTTGAGAAGTTGGACACATTTTAATATATATAATATAATTTATATTTAATACATATTAACATCCCATAATAAGTCATATAAATAATCAAATATTCAAATTTTATAACATAAATATAAACCAAAATAATTTTTTGTACATTGTTAATTTTTCATGTCAAATTTCATAAAGAAAAAATGATTTATAAATTACTTTTTTATGTTTAGTTAATAAAATAAAATTGGATACCAATAAATAAATAAAATTTAGATCTAAAAAAAAAACGTGTCAGAATGTTGATCGCGTGTCTAAAAAAGCTAATTGCGTGTCGAAAAAGCGTGTCGGAGCGTTGACTGTGTATTCCAAAATATTGACCACGTAATGTCAGAACGTATCGAAATGTGTAGGTTTCCCACACGTGTTTGACACGCATATCTTTTTAAATTTGTGCGTGTTTGTGCTTGTTATATCTCTATTGCTGGGAGACTTTCAACACTCGGACGATTAAGTTAATTAAATATTCTAAATAAGAATAAGAACTAAAGTGTGAATGAAAAATGTTACTTACACTTATTTTGAAAAATAAAAAATAATTAGGAGATTTGAATTCAATTGAAAGAACTCTACTTTAAGCACACAAATAAGTGTATAAAATATTTCTTCTTCGTCTATCATCTTTATTCAAAATTTCAAGTTTAAATAGATAATACCATAAAAGTAATTATCCACTAGCATTAAATAAACTCCACTAATAACTATAAATTTTTTTTTAGCAAAATTGAAATTCAAATAATAAAACAAATAAAATAACTACTCACTATCTCAATAATAACAGCAATATTCCAGCAGTGTATTTCTGCTGTCATTGCATAAAGAAAATTCTGCAGCAACACATAAAAAATCATGATACACATATAGATCGTAATTATTATTATTTTTTAAAAAAAACAATGTAACCCACTTTTTATGTATAATAAAAAATGACGTAGCAAAAGTTAGGACCCTTTATCAAATCAGTTGTAACAATTTTTTGGGGTTTCATGTCAGGTCAATTCGATTGATCAGCGTGTGCGCCATCGGATAAACAAATCTGATTACTGTGATGCATCCTCTTATATAGTGGTTTATGTTGGATCTGTGAGGCATGAACCATCGAAGATATGTCATTGCACTCAAATCAACAACATATCAAAATGACAGTATGCGCCCACAAAAATTATAGATAAATTCTGAGCATTATTTAAATAAAATCTAACTACTAAAAATCATAACTTTGCTCCAGAGAAGAAAACCACAAATTGTAAGATTTTTTTTTTCTCAACTTGTTGGATGTTGTATGTTTCAGAAGTTAAAAAATATAAGCTAACGAAAATAAGCTGAAATCAGAGAAATAGATTCCACTCTGTGTGGGAAAAAATAAAAATAAAAAGGGTAAATATCATTTTTGGTACTCAGCAAATTTCACGATGTCCGCTTTAGTCCCTAGCAAATAAAAAGGTTATTTGTGATCTCTAAAAAATTCAAAATGGACCTATTTAGTTGAAATCGTGTCCCTCACAAATTAAAAAAAGACCCACATTAGTCCTTTAAAAGGACTAAAATGAGTCCATTTTGAATTGCTGGATCACGACTTTTTATTTGCTAGGAACTAAAACAGTCATCGTGAAATTTGCCGAGGACCGAAAAAAATATTTACTCAAGTAAAAAAATCTAACCTTATATCATTCTCGCGTCAGAGTTTGTCTGATATACACCAAATAGGTGTTTTCAGCCCAACCGCAATAAGGCAATTCAACATGGGATAGAATCGGTGGCTAAACTGTATTTGCTAAATTCCATGTTTAATTGCCTTATGCACGTTGGGCCAGAAACCCATATCTGGGAAGAAAGTGTGATACAAGATTCTCTACCACTACCAGTTATTGCAGGCTGTCGCAAGAATCAAAGCTTTCTTCTCAATGAAGAGGAGAAGCTGTTTTACATGAACATTTGAAAACCAAAGCTGGATTTATATGGAATTTGTATTGGCCTTTTAACTACCAATCAATTCAAGCTTTTTAAGTCATATTATGATCTCATTATCACATTTCAAACAAAGGAAAAACATTTATCCTTTTAAAGAATATAAGTATATGTTATTTTAGATTATAATCGTTGATTTCTCTCTATCAACAGTTGTAATTTATTCGGTCAAATTTAATGAGTCAAATTTATTTTTAATTAATTAATATTTTTGATCTAATAAATTATAATCGTTGATGGACGAAAATTAACAGTTAGGATCCAAAATGACATAGAATTATATCTTTTAAAAAGATAGATTTCATCTATCAAGGGAAAAACATTTAATGGATTAATTTAATATAATACTATTTAAAAATATTTCTCTGCACAGTTAACAGGACAATTAAATTGGGATCTGAGCAGTAGTTGGTAAGAATTAAATGCATTTGGTTTTGATAAATATATTTTTATGGTAAACGCAATCTAATATATTAAATGCATTGGGGGTTGTTAGTACGCAGATTCTTTTGGGTTCTTTGAAAAGTTAGGTACGGAGAACTGCAACATCACGTTTGATAGCAAAAATATTACACTTTTTCGAGAAACAATGTTACCTGATTTTTGCAGTTGATGTATGAAAAGTGGTACTAAATATCTCTATTCAGAAGTTGAAATATTGGTTTGCCCAAAAAGTAAAAAAAGGATCAAAATATTGTGGATAATAATAACCCTACTTTTTGGTAGCAAATGGACTTTGTCTCTTGTTTATCGTCAAATGATTACGATAATAAATATTAAATGTTTAATGTTGAATATAATATAATATTAAAAAATAAAAATATGGTTATTTTCATAAAATAATTTCACGTTTTCACTAATATTTCACAATTAACCAAATACACACTCAGTAAAATAAACCACAAAATTCAGGAAAAATTTTGTCATATCAAATAACTTTTTAATAATATTTTAGTAAAATATATTTCCTGTTATATTCCAGTAATGTATTGTTTCCAGATAAATAAAAAAATTTCTTCTACCAAACGTCCCTTTTTGGACAAATAAACAAGACAATGTAAATAAAAGTTAATATTAAATAAATAATTTGTTTTAATACAACTATACAAATAAAAAAAATTAGATATAAAAAAGTTAAAATTTATGTTCTAAGCGTGGTTTAAAAATATATGTTACCAAATGCCTTTATTATTACCAATTGGGTTGATCTGTAAAAAAAGGATTCAGATCTCTTATGCATGTAACTTTAAGTTTGAATTTTATTTTTTTATTTTTTTTTGGGGGGGGGGGGGGGGGGGGGGGGGGGGGGGGGTTTAGTTTGATATTTAAATGTATGTGCCTGAAAAACATAAAACCCGCTAAGAGATATTTTTTTCTTAGGCTTGATCATATCTTGAGAAATTCATTATGTCAGAGACTAATTAGTAAAAATTATATGTATTTGTTTATGATAAATTTATTCTTTAAGGTGAAAAATTAATGAAATTAAAAAAATAGATAAGGTAATATAAGATTTTTTTGGTACATTGGTAATATAAGATTTTTTTTGGGTACATAGGTAATATAAGATTTTAACATTTAGTAATACAAACATAATTTAATAGAAGGGAAAAGTATTTATCTGGTCATTGAAAATAAAGTTATATTCAATGAGTTCAAAATGATATTATTTTAGATCATAAAATTAAAAAATTATAATGATAAAAATTAATATAATTCTGCAAAATATTAGAATTATAAAAATACCTTAATTTTCGTCCAAAAATAATATTGTTTTAGGCTCATCAAAAATAATTTATCTTGAAAAAATCCTTCACCTTTAATAGAAACATACAAATAAAAGTAATAAATACTTTTAAGGTATGTATATCTTGTGCCAGTAAATAAATGCCCTGCTATTACTGCTAAAGTATTTACTGCACAGCGGTGGATTGATTTGTTTTTAAATTAATTTCTTAAGCATTGAAAGTCACATTAAAAGAGAGAGAATACAATTTTGTATTTTTTTATGTTGAGATAAACCACAATATTTTTCATAAAAGACAATTTTGTTTGGGATTGGGACGCATTCAAGATTAAAATTTTAAATCCTTTTTAAATGTAATATTGAAAGGATCGAGAACAGAGGCTCGCATTCCTATTTGCTCAATTTTCATGCACCAACTGAATTATCATTATTCCATGAATATACAACGGTTTAAAGTCATTCATAAATTCTTTTATTTATCTTTTTTTTTTTTTGGAGTTACCCAACCCTAATTATCTCTTTGAGACGAGTTGGCTCCCTCCGGTATCCCCACGAGTTTCGACTCTTTGAGCCGGCTATGAGACTAATCCGGAGTGCGGGGGAACAATGATGGCTAAAGGTTCAGCCCCCTCCCCAAGAATGCATTCAGCGGGAATCGAACACATATCCAACCCCACTAACTCAGCGCCAAGTTACCAACTGAGCTGCACCCATTGGGTTCTTTTATTTATCTCTTGTAAATCTCCTAAATACCAAAAAAAAAGAGTAAATACCCTTTTTAGTCTCTGACAATATCTACGAAGTCCTTTTCAGTCTCTGACAATAAAAAAGAACCAAATTGGTCCCTGAAAGTACAAGAAAAGGGTCACTCTACATATTTGGAAGTTGACATAAGGACTAACATGACCCTTTTTTTGTAATTTCAGGGATCAATTTGGTCCTTTTTTATTGCCAGGGACTAAAAAGGACTTCGTAGATATTGACAGGGACTAAAAATGGTGTTTACTAAAAAAAAAAAAAAAACTATTTTATTTCCTTTTTCTTAAGCTGGGCCTAGTAGCAAAAGCCCAGAAATGAAAAAGAATAGAGAGTAAACAACGAGCCAGGTAGATTTTGGAATGTTTTCTGAGAGCATTTGGTTCAACCATAGGAAGAAACCCAGTCCTGCGTTACATTGATTCGGTAACTTGCAGAACCGCTGTCCCCTCTTCCTCTTTGTCTTTTTTTATTATAAATAAATAAATCTAATATAATAGTTGAATACTTAATATTGATTATTATTCACCCTACAGCCATTGATTCAGTGGTTTTCATCTTAGATATAGTTTTTACATATTACACTATGCTTGGCCAACCTATTATCTGTTTGACAAAATGCATAAATGACACGAAGCACTGATGTTTTCGTTTTATGAAGTTTCCTCTAACGCAATTTGTAATATCTAGAACACTAGGAAGGCTAGCAACACACGAAATTCACTTCGTTACTTCTTTTTTTATTGATAATTTCTGATTTTTTCCCATTTTTGACTAGACTAGAAGAACGGCATACATGTTCACCAATGACCAGAGGCAACAAGAGCGAACAGGAAAATACGGAACTCCCAGATTGCAATATCTTCAGGTGCTTCTTCTTCTTCTCTGTTTTTTTTTCTTTCTAAATACAATATTATAATAAAAACATTATATTTGTGATTCAATGAGGTACCATTATATTATATATGTTGCGTTGCGTTGATTTGATTTCGTATGAGAACCTAAGATGGATAAAATGTTTGTTTCAGGAACTGGTGAATCAGTTTCAGAACACATCTGATGACGGTAAATGAATAATGTCCGAATTAAAAACTGTTTCAGGCACCTTTGTTTGTGCAATTGTTCATGTTTTGCTGCCTAGGGTTGGTTATGTGTCTTCTGTTTGGCAGAAACAAGAGAGAAGATTTTGGCAAATTTGGCCAACTTCGCCTATGATCCTTACAACTATAACTTCTTGCGTCAGGTATGGACCCTTCAATTTTCTTTGCTGGAAGGAAAACTGCACACAATGAACTAAAATGCCCTTGCATATGATTGCAGCTTAATGTTTTGGAACTTTTCCTGGACTGCATAACTGAACCCAATGAAAAGCTTGTAGAATTCGGTGTTGGAGGGATCTGCAATTCTTGTGTTGGTAATTCTAGCTGTTCCACCTTTTGTGATATCATCATTTCTACTTGATTAATTATTTATCCATATGACAAAAAGACATTGCAATTTTTTTGCAGATCCGGCCAATGCTGCAATTATAACTAAGTTTGGTGGGATACCTCTTATCATTCAATGTTTATCAAGCCCAGTTAGGAACACTGTAAGGATAAGAACTTGCTTGTTGACATTGTTTCACTTCTTTGGCTTGTGATTACGTTTGGCTCTTAAGTTGCACACCCTGTAGCCTGTAGGCCAAGGGGATTATTAAACCATGCACACCCAGATTCTCGAAATTGCTTTTTGACACCATTTTTCTGCTCAAGTTATATTCAAGCACGAATTATTTTTGCTACTTCATTACAAAATGTAACTTCTTAATGTTTATATGTGAAAAGTAATTTTAATATGATTTTTCATATGAAATTTAATCAACATCCTTGGTTTTCTATATACTACTTTCTATTTTTGATTTCTCAGAACATTATGTTATTGTATACCCTTATAATTACCAAACTTGCATTACTGATAACTTATTCCCAAAATTGCTTATGGTAATTACAGAATAAACAATGCCTCTTACATTGACCTTTACATTCTAAAGTTAATTTACTTCCATGGAAGATCCAATTAGGATTTGATAAATAACCAATGCATTTACCTGATATTAGGCAAATTATGCACTTGGGGCACTTTATTATCTCTGTAACGAATCTAACACGGAAGAGGTTTTAAAGCCCGAAGTTGTTGATGTCATCAAGAGGTACGCAGCAGCTGATGAAGTTAGTGTGAGCTTCAGTAATTTGGCTAAAGCTTTTTTGGACAAACATCTATCAGGGAACTAGTAAGAGACACAGCTTAACGTTTAATGCTCATTTATGAGACTGTCCTTGCAAGGCAACTTTTTTTGCACAAAATTCAAAATGCTCTCTGCACTACAATCTCTGTATGTAGTTGTTTATTCAAACAGAGATTGTAGTGCAGAGAGCAGTCTATGACCAACATTATATACTTTACTAGATGTTAATAGTTGTCAAACATAAGGAGAGAACGTCATCACTCATCTTGTAAGGGTGGAACCTAGTATTTGATCATTCATATGCCCAAAAGGGGAATATGTTTTTAGGGCCACTCTCGTCGTATTCATCTGTAAACTGGCACAATTATTCCCTTGTTCTGGGTCGATTTTGTGAGTACTAGTACTGCTGTATATTCTGATGGTGTAAAAATTTGTGTGAACATTATATATAACGTATTAGCATAACTTTAAGAGATGACCAAGTTGCCAAAATACGAATCTGCCCTGAAAGACTCAATATTACACTTGCTTCTTTTAATGTGTTGAAACTAATTGCATCAATTTATCTACATTCATAATTGCTGCAATAGACTCAATATTACTATTTGCTCTGATACCACTGTTAAAAGAAAAATATGTTGCAAAAAGAATTCTCCGTTACCTGCAAGGTACTAGTTCTCATGGGCTCTTTTATAAGAAAGAAGAAAAGTCAAAATTAATTGGCTTTACAGGTAGTGATTATGCGGGAGATGTAGACGATAGAAGAAGCACTTCAGGGTATGTTTTTATGTTGGGTTCAGGAGCTGTTTCACGGTCCTCAAAGAAGCAGTCAATTGTTACTCTGTCAACAACTGAAGCTGAGTTCGTTGCTGCAACTTCATGTGCTTGTCAAGCTGTTTGGTTGAGGAAGATTCTTGAAGAACTTCACTTCAAGCAAGAAGGAGCAACTTTAATTTATTGTGACAATAATTCTGCAATTAAATTGTCAAAGAATCTAATTTTACATGGGAGAAGCAAGCATATAGATGTAAAGTATCATTTCTTAAGGGATTTTACGAAGTGGTATCAAAGCCAAAGGTTTGGCTGGGCCAGGTATTTAGAGATGGTGATGTTTCAAGGCCTCCGCAGAAGGCTAGTGTGACTTCAATACTTAAAGAAAAAAAAAGACTTCCGTAGAAGTTGCCCTTAAGGGGGAGCATGATGTTGAGTCTCATACTTAAGGGGAAGATGTTTGAAGTATTCAAGTATGAGTTGTAAAGAAGTACCATATTGACTAGACATAGACCAAGTGATGACCATATAACATAAACCTACAGCCTTAAGGTTTTGGGTTAAAATGTGGTGTCGGCCCACTTATTGTGGTTTCTCATTTGACCTATTGGTGAATAAATCTTTTGCAAAGGTTTTGAGTTCTCCCGTAACATTGTTAAAAGAAAAATAAGATACAGAAAAATATCTCACAATATTTGAAGAGGGAATACAAATTTCATAAACTGACCCAAACTTAATATAAGCCATAAACTAAAACTGAAAAACATAACAATTAAGAGACACATTACACCTAAATAAACACTAACTTAATGACTCATTATACTACCCAAAACTGACCCATTATAATATCGTTAAGACTCATCAAACAACTTTAGTGTAGCCACCACATGGCCGTTACATCAAACTTAAAAGACCATTAAATTTTCTAACGGACAAAAATAAAGAGACTCTAACATTCCCTCCCTTAAACTGATGTTCTTGAAAAATTCAGTTTACTCCAAATCCTTTGACTTGAAACCCAACACATTTGAGAGGCTTCGTAAACAAATCAGCAACATGGTCTTCACTTCTACAAAAAATAAGATCAATTATACCATCCTTTGTAAGATCCCTTAAGAAATGATACTTTACATCTATATGCTTGCTTTTCCCATGTAAAATTGGATTCTTTGACAATTTAATTGCAGAATTATTGTCACAATAAGTTAAAGTTGCTCCTTCTTGCTTGAAGTGAAGTTCTTCAAGAATCTTCCTCAACCAAATAGCTTGACAAGCACATGAAGTTGCAGTAACAGACTCAGCTTCAGTTGTTGACGACAGAGTAACAATTGACTGCTTCTTTGAGGACCATGAAACAGCTCCTGAACCCAACATAAAAACATACCCTGAAGTGCTTCTTCTATCGTCTACATCTCTCGCATAATCACTATATGTAAAGCCAATTAATTTTGACTTTTCTTTTGTCTTATAAAAGAGCCTATGAGAACTAGTACCTTGCAGGTAACAGAGAATTCTTTTTGCAGCATTAAGGTGAATTTCTTTTGGGCATTCCATGTACCTACTAATAAGACACACAACATGCATGATATCAGGTCTCGTTGCAGTCAAATATGTTGCTTCTTTGAGGACCATGAAACAGCTCTTGAACCCAACATAAAAGCATACCCTGAAGTGCTTCTTCTATCGTCTACATCTCCCGTATAATCACTATCTGTAAAGCCAATTAATTTTGACTTTTCTTCTTTCTTATAAAAGAGCCCATGAGAACTAGTACCTTGCAAGTAACGGAGAATTCTTTTTGCAACATTAAGGTGAATTTCTTTTGGGCATTCCATGTACCTGCTAATAAGACACACAGCATGCATGATATCAGGTCTCGTTGCAGTCAAATACGTTGCTTCTTTGAGAACCATGAAACAGCTCCTGAACCCAACATAAAAACATACCCTGAAGTGCTTCTTCTATCGTCTACATCTCCCGCATAATCACTATCTGTAAAGCCAATTAATTTTGACTTTTCTTCTTTCTTATAAAAGAGCCCATGAGAACTAGTACCTTGCAGGTAACGAAGAATTCTTTTTGCAGCATTAAGGTGAATTTCTTTTGGGCATTCCATGTACCTACTAATAAGACACACAGCATGCATGATATCAGGTCTCGTTGCAGTCAAATACGTCAAGCTTCCCACAATTTGCTTGTAGAGTGTGCTGTCCACCTTTCTTCCTTCAGGATCTTTCATGAGCTTCAAACCAAACTCAGTTGGTGTACTTACAGAATTACAATTCTTCATTTGAAACTTGTCTAAAATCTCTTGAACATATTTCTTTTGGCAAATAAAAATTCCTGCAGCTGATTGAAACACCTCAATACCCAAAAAGTAATGCATCATCCCAAGATTAGACATATCAAATTCATCCCTTCTTAAATTTGTCAAACATGGCACTATCATTTCCAGTAAAAATAAGATCATCCACATATAAGCAAACAATAAGCAATTTTCCTCCATCACCTTTTTTAATAAAAAGAGTATGCTCATATGGGCATTTTATAAAACCTTCCCTCATAAAATAAGCTTCAATGCGACTATACCAAGCATGTGGGGCTTGTTTTAGCCCGTATAATGCCTTTTTCAATATGTAAACTTTGCTTTCACTGTCAAGTTTCACATAACCAGGAGGTTGGTCAATAAATACCTGTTCTTGAAGGTCACCATGTAAAAATGCAGATTTCACATCCAATTGGAAAATAGGCCAAGAATTTTGAGCTGCCAATGCAATCACCAATCTAATTGTATCATGTCGGGCAACTGGAGCAAAAACTTCTTTATAATCCACTCCAAACTCTTGCTTATAGCCTTTAGCTAATAAGCGTGCCTTGTACTTGTCAACTTCACCATTCTCCTTCAATTTTGTCTTGTACACCCATTTGACACCAATTGTCTTTTTCCCTCTTGGAAGATTAGTTAACTCCCATGTATTATTTCTTTCAATTGCTGCAACTTCATCCATTGCCTTTCTCCATTTTTCTTCTTTTTTAGCTACTTCAAAAGAGGTAGGATCACAATCTGAAAACAATGCAAAATGAATAAGTGGGTCCTCGGTCTGGTCAATACCAGTTACCTCATAATCAGCCATCCAAGAAGGTCTCTTTCTAACACGCTGAGGCCGCTCCTCATCTTGTGTAATAGATGGAATTTGTTGCTGTTGATTCTCCTCAAGCTGCTGCGTTTCATCTTCTTCATCAAAATTAGTAGAAATTTTCCCAACAGTTTCATTGCTCCACTTCCAAAACTCCTCTTCATCAAAGATGACATCACGATTAATAATGATTTTCTTAGTGTTAGGATTATATAATTTATAGGCTTTTGATTGATCACTAACACCAAGAAAAATGCATTTTTCTCCCTTGTTATCTAGCTTCGTCCTCTTTTGGTCTGGAATATGGGCATAGGCAATGCATCCAAAAATTCTGAAATGCTCTACAGTTGGTCTTCAACCGCTCCATGCTTCTTCTAGTGTCATATTTTGAACAGCAAATGTAGGACTTCTATTCAAATTATGAATGCTCCAGTTGGCTGCTTCAGGCCAGAAACTTTTTGGAACTCCGCTTGTTGTCAAAAGACTTCTCGCTATATTTAGAATTGTTTTATTTTTTCTTTCACAAACGCCATTTTGCTGCAGTGTATAGGCTGCTGTAAGTTGCCTTTTGATCCCATGCATCTCACAAAAATTTGTAAATTCAAGTGAGTTGTATTCTCCACCACGATCAGTCAGCTTCTTTTATCGGATTGTCAGCTTCTTTTTCAACAAGTGCTTTAAAAATTTTTAAGGCTGCAAAAGCTTCAGATTTTTCCTGCAAAAAATAAACCCAAATTTTCCTGCTATAATCATCAATGAAGGTAATTATATATCTTTTACCTCCATTAGAAGATGGATTTATAGGCCCACAAATATCTGAATGGACTAGCTCCAACGTCTTCATTGCTCTCCATGATTTACCATGTGGAAATCGATTACGGTGTTGTTTGCTAACAACACAATTTTCACAAACTTCTGATGGCACAACAATTTGAGGAAGGCCGGTCACCATATTCTTTTGTTGGAGTGTCTTCAATCCTCCAAAATTGAGATGCCCATATCGAAAATGCCATAGCCATGCTACATCCTTCAATCTTGCAGAAAAACATGAATGGCCAATATTGCGAAGAATTAACGGAAACATTCGGTTTCTCGTCATGTTGACTTTATCAATTAATCCCAGCTTTGCATCTTGAATTCGACATACTCCACCTTTTATAGAAATCTCATAGTGCAGCTGTCCCACACTAAGCAAGTTGGTTTTCAAATCTGGAACAAATAGAACGTTAGAAATAGTGTGGGTGGAGTTTTCTATGGTATGAAGAGTGACCTTTCCTTTTCCCATGACAGATATGGTGGAGTTGTCACCAAACTTGACGGTGTTGCGGAAAGACTCATCTAACTGTGAAAATGCCTTTTTATCTCCACACATGTGGTTACTGCAGCCAGTGTCTAAATACCACAAGTTTTGCTGAGTTTTTTCATTTACATGGCACACCATCAAAAAAGATACTTCTTCTTCCCCTTCTTCTTTTTCTGCAAAGTTAGTACTTTCTCCATTTTTGTTATTCATATAAGTTCTACA